TGATAATATTCTCCTCATAATTGTTTTTCAATGGCTGGATTTTGGTATTGAGCAAACTTGTTTTCTGTGAACGTGGAGGTTCGCCTTTCAAAATTTTTGAGTATAGCTTTTTTTGTGATTTTTTCCTATTTTTTCAATTCTTCCGCAACTACCCATAAAGATGGGTGGTTTCCTCCAATTTTTCTCTTTCAGGAGGCATGCCATGATTCGCAGGCGTTTTTTATTGCGAGATTTTTTGGTCTTTGATAAACGTTCCGCATAAAAACTCAATTTTCCACAATTGGATCCAAGTTTTTTCGACATAATTGACCAAATTTTTGGATTTTGCCAAATTTTAAAATCAGGTGGTCGACTGAAAAAATTCGAGGCTGAAGATTTTGCGACAAACTAACTGAAATGCACGATTATTCCTGTAGGCAATAATCAGACCAAAAATTTGAATTTTTCCGAATACTGCAACTGCTTGAGTATAATGAAAAACAAAAAAACAGCCGTAATGATCGACTTGTGGCATCAATTTTTTCACGGCGAGGATGAAATTTGTCTCGTAATCGGATATCATTAAAGTTGGTTCAAAATTTTTTGATAAAAAAATTTGACATTTTCGTCAATTTTTTCCAACAAATTTTGGTAAGCTTCCTCTGTTTTTCGGACATCAGAGCCCAAAGTGACGGAATTTTGCAATCTTGCACTTCACTGAATATTGTATAAAAATGACGAAACGGTTTTGGTGCATTCTTGAAAGTTCAGTACACAAAATTTTTTGCTTTTTTGCAAAAATTGTAGGTTTTTTAGCGAAAAAAAAATCACTAATCCAACATATTGATGTAGCACAAAACTTTGATTGTCGCTCTTTTTACTCCCCATACCATCTATTTTCACATTTTGTAAAGTTCCCGAAATTTTGGCAATATTCGATTTTGTTTTTTTAGTAGCCCGCTGCTATTTTTGTTATACTCCGATGGATTTTTGGTTTCCTAATTCAGTTTAACTTGCTCGTCGTCAATCATTTTCACCAGATTTGTCGGATCGTTTTGGATTTCGGTCAGAATTTTTTGGCGAAAATTTTCTTCGTCATTGTACATAAGGTCGGGTTCGTGACTGTGGTTGCCTGATTTTGGAATAGTTTTTGTTATTTTTAAATTTGTCATTAATCTTCCGAAGCAATTGGAGATAACACAGCGATAATGACAACTAATTTTGGTTTTGTTATCTTATTTAAATCTATAACCTTCATCGGTAATAAGATTTTGTCCACCTTGATTATTCGATGGAACTATTTTAAAATTTTGCGATTCTGGATGCCGAAAAATAACTGTTGTCTGCAAACAAAATTTATTTTTCTCACGCAATTTGTCTGCAAACAATTTTAATATTTCGTACTTCCGTCTATTTTCTCACAATTGCTTTTTTGCAAAAACGTCAAATTTATTTAAATTGTTTCCGTCTAATTTGCTTATCGTCTAACTTCTCCACCCCTTAAAAACACATTGCTGGAAATCTTTTAAAAGAATTTTGAAACAAGACAACTCCAAAAAAAACTCAATTTAAAAAATAATAGTTTTTTTTCAAACAGCCAACTTCCCATTATAACTTTTGCTCATAATATAACCTGGTTTAATAAGGTTCTTAACCAACACTAAAACAAAATCGTAGTGCATAGAAAACTGCTGTTCCCCTGAAACTTTCAATTGGTTTTTTGTTACATATAATCAAAGCCCATCACTGCATAAAACGACGCCCTTGGCTTTTGTTTTAGACAGGCTTCTAAAAGTTTTGATTCTCCTGGTAGCTTTTATGCTAATAAACGAACTGGTGTTTCAAACAGAATTTGTAATTTTTGGAAATCAAAAACAGCAGATGGAAGTGGAAGGTCGCGAGGAAGAGACCTTAGATGAGAGGGAAAAAAGCAACCAGTCAGATGCCGGCCAAATTCACAGATTCGTCGCATTGAGCGGACTTGCAATTGCACTATTCGTATACAATCTCAACTAAAGTCGAATCACCAAGAATGAAAACTAGACTCAAATCAATCCAGGTTTAATCAGAAAATAAGAAGTAGGTATATTGCGAAAGAATTAACAGATGATAAATTGGACCATGAAGTTACCAGAAGCAAACATTTGATTCAAGTAGCTAATTTTCTTGTGGTTAAAAATTTGTTCAATAATTTAATGGCATAAAGTATTTTGAAATGAGACGAGGTAAAATGAACGAAAATGAAAGATCTTTGACGAAGCATCGACTTAATTAAATTTAAATTCTAAGAAAAGGTTATTTACTTTTTCTTATAGCCAATTAATAATTGTAGGTACAATTGCTTCCAGTATAAGTATGTTTGGGAATCATTTGGGAATTTTTTGTTCAATTTTTTATCTTAAGGCCCTGGATTTAGTTTTTTTCCAAACTCGTCACATCGTATTTAATCAAATTTCAGAAAAAGTGCAAGAAATAGATGTGGTGAAGCTCTAGAACACTTTGATTGAATTTCCTGAATGAAATTTTGAATCTGGATGTTTTCGAGATTGTTCGGAATCACACAAAACTGCTTGTGTCAGGGTAAGTTCCTAATTGATGCGACTGCCCCTAAGCTTTTCTGAATTGGTTCTTGGTGAACTGAACTATCCCTACGACTTCCAGAGAGATTGTCTGAAGTGGTTTTTGGCTGATTGACCGAAAATGGGAGACTAAACCTAGTTCGGTCAATTAGCCAAAACCACCCTAATAGGTTGTCCGAGTTAGTTTTGGTAAACTAGATAAAATATTGAATTTCCGTTTAGCTTGTTTGAGTAGTTTTTTTATTAAAAAGAACGTGTAAGAGTTTGAGATTAGTTATACGACTGAGAAAAGAAATTTCAAGTTATATGGGAAACCCATACTGTGCAGTTATGTTTTCATGAGATAAAAAATCGAAGTTAGAATGATATCATGACCTCATAGCGGCTATGATATGGATTGGGTGATTTGGGTGAAATTACAGCTCAGTTTTTCAGTTCTCAGAAAAAGATTCTTTGATTTTTCCTACAAAAAGTAAATAATAGACCCATTTTCGCCATTCCCAGTTTTAGTTATTTGAGTATCCATTAACAGCTAAAGTCTCACTTGAAGTTTTCACTTTGTTAATGGTTTCTATAGACTGACGGAAAAGTTTTGATAGTTTTGAGGGAGTGAGAAACGTTACGGATTGATAAAAAGGGACGGATTTCCACGAAGCATTCATACGTCATTTTGTTGAGTAAACATCAAATTCATAGTTTATCTTAGCGAGGATTTGCAACACAATCAGATTTTACCATATCAAAATTTTGGGGTTTTGATTGCGAAATGCGTTATTCGAACATCACGGGCAAAGAGCATGCTAGGCTAGAAAGATTATTTGAAGCTTATGGAACTAGTTCAAAACAAGTAATTTTTACATCCAATTATACTCTTGATAACTATCACTGTGAAACTTTTAGAATTAACCAATCATGAGCCGTGACTACAACTTACTTTAATTTAAAAGGCTGAAACTAATTACTGTTTCAGCCAGAGAAGAATAATTTTAACTTAGAAAGCAGTTGCTCTTTCTCTCTTCTAACCTCGCAAGAACACCAGTTTATACTACAACTATTGAGACTAGGAAATTTTAGTCTTATATATTTACTAGGATATTTATCCCTCTTTTATCCCTGCCTGATTGCCATTCTGTTGCTTGCAACAAACAATTTAATGGAATGAAATCAGAAAATGAAATAAATAGCCGCCAAAAAATGATTTCAACCAACAAAAATTGTTTCAAATGTTTCCTGTAATCTACGCGAAGAGTAAAAGTTGTTATTATTGCGATAAACGATTTAGAGGTCTTGCATCGTAATACTAGCCTTAAAATTTCGCTGTAGGCACAATCCAAAAATCTATTGAAGTTATATTGATATTTGTGAGATTTTCTTCTGAATTAAAAGATGTTCAGCGTCCGCGTCTTGGTATAAACAAGGAAGCAGGTATAACTGTTTTCCTCCCTCTGATATAAAGTCATATTATCGGTTGAATCAAGCTGAAAGTAAAATCTCAGCTACATCAAGCTGAATTTCTTGGCTATTTACAAATTATAGGCTTCCGCGAGAAACCACTAGTCCACGTCAACCCGGACGTAACGAGCCACGAGCCAAGAACCACAGACCACGAACTAAGAAACACGAACACGAAACACGAACCATGAGCGATATGAACGACCAGTACGACTTACGAAGCTTCGCGAACGAGCAACGCGATCAAAGCAAACGAGCCTTCAGGTGAGAGCAAAGCAAATGAGCAGAGCGATTAACCAGCTGTTGCGAGCGTGCAACGTGGACGACATCATCAGTCATTACGAATGTACTTGAAGTTGGTTCAACCTAGAAGTTGGAAAACTAACACAACTGGGCCATAAAATCTGCTGCAATTCTGACTCATCGCATGAAAGTTTGACTCATCGCATGATTTAAAATTGAAAAACTGTTTATTGCCTATTCCCATGTTCCTTGATTGGAAACTAATAAGCCACTCTTGGAAAATACAAACTCAACTGTTATCTATATATCCAAAAATTTAATACGAAAACTACCATTTTGTCACAAATATGAGCACCAAAAATTATATTTCGTAGAAAGATATCAGGTACAATTTAAGAAAAAACTTGTTTTTTGAACAATCAGTTACGATATAAAATTCGATTACATTTTTGGAATGATTTCTATATGAAACATTGGTCGGAGGTACATACCGACGGAAAATAAAGCTAGGTTCTATAACGACTGGCTAGCGTCTAAACAAATCTTTACATGCTTATAACTGTCTCTATCGAAGCCAGTTCATTGTATGGTTCAATTAACATTGGGTCGACGAAGTGATTACAACAACTTAAAGGCTATCGGCTAAACCGCGCAGGTTAACTTAGTTATATGTATATTATTGAGCTCATGGCTGGGTCTGAGTATCCCCAGTCCAAGAGGTCATTCCTAAAAGTAGGATGATTTCTTACTTATTAAATTACTGTTTTTTTTGTTCAGTAGATAACATCATCATATCCATCGGAGATGGATCAAATCTTTTCCTCAACTCCTAGCTTCTCATTATCTGACCCCTAAAAAAGGGCATTTTCAGACCCCGAAAAAAGTGAACGCTTCAAACTTAAACACGAGAAGAAATTTTTGATAAACAATGAATTTCAAACGTTTTCGCAACTGTGTGCATCACATGATTTTTACAATGAACTAATCTAAATGACAATAAAGATTAGATTTTTTTGCCTTGAGTAATTTTGTTGCCTTGAACAAAAGAGACGAGATAAAGGATCACGTATACTCTAAGATGAGGTCAACAGGGAGCAACCTGCCCGTTTGTACGGTAAAGCTAAGGAACACAAGGCTGAGATATCCCTATAACCATTGCCATCACTCTCGTTTGAGAATTTTATTAAAACCTTAGCAAAAGTTTTTGACAATATCAATGGAGCCAATATAGAAAACACTACAAAAGATGCCAGAAAAACAATTGAAAAGATTGCTCTAGATCCTGATGAAACCATAATATCTCTTGATGTGAAAAATTTATACACTAATATTTTCCTGAAGGAAGCAATTGAAATTGCCTTACAGAAGCTTTAAAGCTAGGAGTCTCCAACTGAAATTCGAAGAGCAACTATGAATGGGCTTTTGAACATGGCGGTCAGCAAAGTATATTTCAAGTCTAATGATTCATGGTATGTGCACTTTGATGGTCTAGCAATGGGCACTTCCCACGCTGTAATTCTTGCAAACCTAGGGCTGAAAGAGTACGAGTTCGCTCTTAGATAAGCAATACCGGCAGAAACGGAGGTATAAACAATGAAAGCAAAAACGGTTTTTGCCCACGTTGCAGCAAATTAACATATAAATCAAACCGAATTGAACTCGAGAGTTGCCGAAACTGGTATCATCTAAAATGCGGTAAAATATCCCGCATCAATAACCTAGATGGTCTGGTATACTGGAAGCTGCTGCCGGGCTAAAAACAAGAAGAAGGATACTCCACAAGAAAATAGTTCCTTAGGTATGTGGATGACATTGTTAGAACATTTAAAATGAGCCGAATTGTGTTCTCGATGCCGCCAATTCTCTTCATCAAAATCTGTAGTTCACCCTGCCGTTCAAATCTGCAGTTAGCCAAGGCACTGTACATAGATTTTTTAGGAGTACATATAACTGGGATAAATTTGATAAGGCTAAGGAAGTTTATAGGGCGCAATTTCTGACAAATCAGTACCCTGAAAATTGGTCCGCAAAATGATGCAAAATCATCGAGGGTGAGGGCAAGCCGCTGGGTAGTGAGAAGAGCTCTTCAACTCAATCATCAAAGCATATGAGGCCCCAATGCTGATGGTGCCACATAGAGGTAACCAAATCCAATATTTGGCTAACATGTTACGAAATTTAAATATCTTTTAAGTGGTTTTTGGCACAGGAAAACTAGAATCATGTTTACCATCACTGAAGTCAGTATTTTCTAATGACCTCAAGTCAAGAGTGGTTTATAAACTGTCATGTAGTGGATGCACTCCCACCTATGCTGGACAAACTGTTCGACATTTGACAAATAGAAATAAGGAACATAAGAAAGCAGACTCACCAGTAGGCCTCCACTTTCAGCAATGCCAAGTTGAGGGAAATAGCGCAGATTTTAGTTGGGAAATTATAGATACGTCGGTTAACCAAAAAAACTTGTTAACACTAGAGGCAATACTTTTCAGGAAAGAGAAACAAGGCTTAAACACTCGCGATGAGTTTAGGAGCAGGGATTTAGCGCTGAAAATTTAGTCCAAAGTTTTTATTGTTTTTTTAAAAACGTCTATGTCTAAATCAAGATTATGACTCAAAAACTTCCAGGCAAATCTATTAATTATCTTCTAATCAATTTTAGAGGTTAAACATTTTTTAACCTAAATAGTGTTTTTAGAGGGCAACGGTGATTGGCTTATTTTATAACATGATGGCTAAGAACCCAAATTTGTGTGAATTAATGTAAATAACATTTGTAAATTGATGTTTTATCGTCATTTAATCAGTTTTATTGTTAAAAACCTGACAATGCACATAGTTGCGAACTCGTTTTAATTTTGCTTTTTATCAAAAATCTCTTCAATTTGTAAATTTGTGATAAACCAAAAAGCGAGGAGCTCAAAAGTTGAGACTTTCATACAGGGTAGTTCAAATAATTTGCTGTCGGTTGCTTCATAAATTTTGTTGGAATTCTAAGTAAACATTGTCCAAAATGGTTCTTTAAAGTTGGATATTTTAAAAATATAAAACCTGAATTTGCGTTTTTTTTGTCCACTACTATATCTAACATACACTGGTACATTTGAAACTAATTATGATTTGCATTTTAAATTTTGATTTTTTTTTCTATCTCACGGGAGTCATGTAATGAGTTGACACTGTTTGAGTTGACTCCTGACTGCTCCAGGCTGACCACTTCGAGTCTGATTGGTTTCAGTCTTGTGTTATAACCGTGTTATAACCATTCAACAGGTAAAAACAGAAGGGGCAAAAAAGCGTCAACTTCTGCTTGCAATGCACACGTTTGAAATCGAAAAACTGTTTATAGCTTACTCCCATGTTCTTTGATTGGAAATTAATAAGCCACTCTTGGAAAATACAAACTCAACTGTTATCTAAATATCAAAAAATTATATACAAAAACTACCATTTTGTCACAAATATGAGCACCAAAAAATATATTTCGTAGAAAAATATCAGGTACAATTTAAGAAAAAAACTTGTTTTTTGAACAATCAGTTACGATATGAAATTCTATTACAGTTGTGGAATACTTTTTATATGAAACATTGGCCGGAGGTACATACCGATGGAAAATAAAGCTAGGTTCTATAACGACTAGTTAGCGTCTAAACAAATCTCACATGCTTTTAACCGTCTCAACCGAAACCAGTTCAATGTATGGTTCAGTTAACATTGGGTCGACGAAGTGATAACAACAACTTAAAGTCTGTCGGCTAAACTGCGCAGGTTATCTTTATTATATGTATATTATTGAGCTCATGGCTGGGTCTCATTATCCCCAGTCCAAGAGGTCACTCCTAAAAATAGGATGATTTCTTAATTATTAAATTACTGTTTTTTTGTTCAGTAGATAACATCATCATATCCATCGGAGATGGATCAAATCTTTTCCTCAACTCCTAGCTTCCCATTATCTGACAATGAATCTGATGTTAATTTAAATTCAATTCAGGCCATTCCCGGAAGCTAAAATTTGTTTGAAAAAAAATTTGTTTAGAGTTACTCTCCGATATCCTTCCGACTCCCTGGATCTGTGCGAAGAAGCATCTTCTTCACGATCAGGAAGGGTAGCAAACTTTAGCGTTAGCACTCCTGGTTCTCGGAAACTGCTCTTTAACGACTTTAGCTGCCCAAACGCTACAATTCGGAGCCATCTTCTTCAAATATTGGCGACTGTAGTTTGAATCGTCTTGTTTATCGGTCGCATGTCTGTATTGTATTTGCAAAAATTGTCTGTTTTTTCGTGGCTTCAGTTGCTACGAAATTAAAAAATGTTACGTGTCATTCACGCCCAAATAGAAAATTTAAAGCAATTACGTCAATTGAAATGGAGCTCTCTAATTTTGCTCAATTTCACAAATAAGACTGCTGATCTTCAAAATCAGCATAACTTCTCACAAAACCACTCCAGTAAAATATCGTCATCCTGGTCGAGTGGCAAAACTATTAATTAAGGAAGACCCATTAGTGGCAACCTATGGTAAATTACCATTGAAAAACTTTAAGGTCGTTTAGGGAAAAACAGTGACTCCATTTGCCATATTTTTGGTCTTTAATATACATGCTCAAAGATGGCCAGTCATTAAGCAGAATGGTCAAATAGCAGAATAGATTCAAGAGCAGAAGACCAAAAAATATCAATTTTGATAAGCCAATAGAAAATTTATTTGTCAGAAGCTTCAAAAATACTAAAGCAGCGAACATTTTATACATAAATTGAGAATTTTAATCAAGATTTCCAAAAAAAAAATTTATAAAAAAAAACTTAAAAAATTAGTCAATTCTTGCATATTTTATTAGTTTTCTTGGTATTTTTGGGCGATTCTAACAATTGTTCAATCAATTAGACAGTTTAAATAAATAAAATCCATTTTTTTTTGTTTTTCTGCTCTTGGACCCATTCTGCGTATTGCTCTGCCTCCATGTTTAAATTATACCTTGATAGTAATGTAAACTCATTTTTGTTCAATTTTCTTCTATACATAGTGGAACAAATCAACGCGAATTCAGGATTTTACTCGCTAAAGATCCTCACTCTAAGGACCATTTTGGCTACATTAACTTAGAATTTCGAAAAAAAAATGGAGCGACAGACAAAATTTATCTAAGCTAAACTCTCTGAAAGTCTCACTTTTTAGTTTGAATCTTTTGCCACTTTTTTCCGGGATTGAAAATGCCAGTTTTTATCATCCGCTTTAATTTTTTCAAATTACGTGAAATTGTAAGAAATTTTGAATTAATTAGACTTGTTACAATGATTATTTCAATTTTCTTACCGAGCATGAACAAACTTTTTACTCCGATTATTCGAGAAACAAATCACTGCGATGCAAAACCAAGCGTAGACGATCAAAAATGGCATTTTCAGACCCCGAAAAAAGTGAACGCTTCAAACTTAAACACGAGAAGAAATTTTTGATAAACAATGAATTTCAAACGTTTTCGCAACTGTGTGCATCACATGATTTTTACAATGAACTAATCTAAATGACAATAAAGATTAGATTTTTTTGCCATGAGTAATTTTGTTGCCTTGAACAAAAGAGACGAGATAAAGGATCACGTATACTCTAAGATGAGGTCAACAGGGAGCAACCTGCCAGTTTGTACGGTAAAGCTAAAGTACACAAGGCTGAGATACCCCTACGACCAGTGCTATCACTTTCGGGCAGCTCGTATGAGAATCTTATCAAAATCAAGGCAAAATTGT